TAAAAAATAAACAGAATAGAAAATATCGGGCCAGGCGCAGTGGCTCACGCCTATAATCCTAGCACTTTGGGAAGCTGAGGCGGGTGGATCACCTGAGGTCAGGAGTTCCAGACCAGCCCGGCCAACATGGTGAAACCCTGTCTCTATTAAAAATACAGAAATTAGCTGGGTGTGGTTGTGCGTGCCTATAGTCCCAGCTACTCGGGAGGCTGACACAGGAGAATCACTTGAACCTAGGAGGCGGAGGTTGCAGTGAGCTGAGATCGCACCACTGCACTCCAGCCTGGGTGACAGAGACTCCATCTCAAAAAAAAAAAAAAAAGAAAAAAAAGAAAATATCATAGAATGTTGCATGTACAAAGATACATACATCACACGTGTGCACCTGTGTGTATCCTGGGTCATGATGTAAAACATTCCTTACTGTGGGTCAAAGGTTTGAGAGCTATAGTTAGAGAGAATATGTTGCCTGCCCTGAACCCCAAAGCCTGGCACATAATAGATGTTCAGAGAATTTTGATACGTGGAAGGATGGATTTAAATTCTCACAGCAAAGGTGACTCTTCTGCTGGTGGCCCAGCCCGTGACCTGCTGAACAATAAGCATCCCCAGCTTTGACCCACGCAGGTGGCATATGCTTCATAACAGCAGTGGCTAAGGGCCCTGTGTTTACTCTGGGATGGCCTCAGTCACCCATCTCAGGCCCAGAGGCCCAGCAGCCTGCGCTTTCAGGATGCCAACAGGAAGAACTGTTTGTGGGGGTAGACTGGAATGCAGCAGAAAGAGGTCCCTGGGGAAAACAGAAGAGGGACAGAAGCCTGAATCAGTCCCTCACAGGGTGAGGTGAGTCAGGGGTAATGACTAGGTGGCCACAAACAGAGCCTCCTTTTTAGTGGTTTTCAGGACACTCTGAACTTCATCTGTCCTATAATATCAGGACCAAAATACTCCTTGGCTACCTTTCTCCTCCATCATAGACTCCTACTTAATGTTGGAAGGGCCCTAGACATTATCCAGTTCAACTCTCTCATTTTATCCATGAAGAGAAAGGGGCCCAGAGAGGGAAGGCATTGGCCGGGGGTCATCCAGCAGGCAGCCTGAGAGCTGGGACCAGGACCAGGAACCCAGGTCACCTACCCCATCACCCTGAGCCCATGTCCTTCACATGCTCCTCTCTCCCATCATCTTACCAGAAGGATCTCCTACCTAATCTAACCTCTTTTGGCCTCTTCTCTATATGTAATCAAAGAAGTCTTTCTAAAGAACAAATGAGTTACTATGTTAGTACCTGCCTAAAGCCTTCCCTTGCTCCCCACTGCCTTAGGGTGAAAGACAGCCATAACCTTTGCCCTCACCCCGCCCACCTTTCAGGCTTCCTCTCTTGCTCTTTGTCTCCTTTCATACTGTTAGCTTATGCTCCTGAATTAGTTGGAGCTCCCTATTTATGACATGTTTTCTCCCAACTATGATCCTTTTGCACATACTGTCCCCTCTGCCTTCAACACTCTTACCAACCCTGCTGCATTTGTCTGTTCTTTTTTAGATTACAGAGTAGATCTTTCTTTTTCCAGGAAACCTCCCTGGCCTACTGGCCTCCAGGGTAAAGTATCCCTACTAAGTTGTCTGGCAGCAACTCTATGCTGTTATAATCTGTGTTACCATCAGTTTCTCCTGGCTCCTGAGAGAAGGCTGGGTGTAGAAGATAATGCTGCCATCCATTAGGAGAAAGGGAACACTGTATGGAACCCAGCAGTTCTCCAGGACACCTCTTGGTACTTCCACTGACCACAGTAAAAGTTCATAAAAAACTAACCCAACCAACTAATAACCAACAAAGGCAGGACCCCTAAGGGTTTGGACCCTTCAAGAATGAAGGTTTTGATTACCTTGCTAAGTAAAAAGCCAGACCAGTGGAAGGGTGGGCTCAAGGCAAATGGAACCTGGGATGAATAATGGAAGAAGGAATTTGTAAATATTACCTACAGCCTTGTGACCAGTTACAGAAAGAGAACTGTAGTAGTGATATAGTTTTTTCTCCTTGCTTGTATGTGTATGTATATCTGTATCTATGTCATTATCTTTCTATTTATTCATCTATATACACATTTTGTTTTGTTTTGTTTTGAGAGGGGATCTCGCTGTATCACCCAGACTGGAGTGCAGTGGTGTGATCTCGGCTCACTGCAACCTCTGCCTCCTGGGTTCAAACAATTCTCTTGCCTCAGCCTCCTGAGTAGTTGGGATTACAGGCATGCACCACCATGCCCAGCTAATTTTTGTATTTTTAGTAGAGATGGGGTTTAACCATGTTGGCTAGACTGGTCTTGAACTCCTGATCTCAGGTGACCCACCTGCCTTGGCCTCCTAAAGTGCTAGGATTACAGGTGTGAGCCACTGCACTCAGTCTGTTTTGTTTTGTTTTAAGAGATAAGGTCTTGCTGTGTTGCCCAGGATGCCCTCAAACTCCTGAGCTCAAGAGATCCTCCTGCCTCAGCTTCCCAAGTAGCTGAGGTTACAGGCACAAGCCACCATGCCTGGCTAGCATATTTGCTTTTATTAACTAATTTTTTCTTTTGTTTCCTCTTTTATCCTTGTTATTTTATGGAAGGATTATCGGCAGGAGCTTGTAGGTTATAGAATCTTCAGGCAGAACTGTCAAGGAATAACCTTACTGAAAAGATGGGTGCGGTATCTGCCCTCTGTGGGAGAAGGGGAGAGGGCCTTGTGTTAATATGGAGGATGTATTGAAACTTGTTATACAAAAAAACCATACATTTGTTAATGTTGTACAGAAGACTTAATATCTGTAGAAGAATGTGTGTGGATGCTGAGCAACAAAACGGGTGGCTGGGCCAGTGAGAAGCTATTGACACCCAGCCAGGTGCGGTGTCAGGTAATTCCAGCACTTTGGGAGGCCAAGGCGGATGGATCACCTGAGGTCAGGAGTTCAAGACCAGCCTGGCCAACATGGCAAAACCCCGTCTCTACTAAAAATACAAAAATTAGCTGGGCATGGTGGTGGGTACCTGTAATCCCAGCTACTTGGGAGGCTGAGGCAGGAGAATCACTTGAACCTGGGAGGCGGAGGTTGCAGGGAGCCAAGATCGTGTCATTGTACTCCTGACTGGGCAACAAGAGTGAAACTCCATCTCAAAATTAAAAAAAAGAAGGCACTGACTCTCAGCTCCAAACTGACCCTTCTATACTTAACTTGGCAACGGTGGGACTGGAACTGTTTGAATTACATTAGTTTTGCCAGCCAGCTCCTTGTTAGGGGCTGTCAGGCAGACAAAGACACCCTCCTTTCTGTTGTCTTTGTTGTTCATGCCAGTGTCATCGCAGCAGTGTCATTTCACTTCCAGTTTCCAGTTTTTTCCACACTCCTAGAATCAGCTTCATTTCTCTCTTCAGAGGCTCCACTGGGCAGTGCTGTCCCGCCAGAGGTCTGGGTCCCAACTCTGCAGGAGCCCTGCTCTGAGCTCCCAGGAGCCAGCCCCAGCTGGCCTTTGCTCAGGGGTCTGGGTTGCAGGTCCTGGGGGTCCCTCTGTTGACCTTCTAGGTTCTCACAACCTAATCTTTTACTATTGTCCCCAGTCCTTGAAGGGGTACCTGCATCCTGCAGTTACTTTCTCTGTTACCTCAATGTCTTCCTTTGCTTTTCCAGTTCCCTGGTAGCCACCAATTTCCTGATATTAAATTCTTTCCATTTTTCTTTTTTCTTTTTTTTTTTTTTTTGAGACAGATTCTCACACTGTCACCTGGGCTGGAGTGGAGTGGCGCGATCTTGGCTCACTGCAACCTCCGCCTCCCAGGTTCAAGCAATTCTCCTGCCTCAGGCTCCTGAATAGCTGGGATTACAGGCACCCGCCACCATGCCCAGCTAATTTTTT